GTCTCCATGATAAATGGAATCCTATCGCGACGGGCGCACCAGCCGCACCCACCCCGAAGTCCACGTCAGACCCAACAAATTGCTGACCCCAGACAGAAAAAAAAAGAGCTAGCGAAAGAAGAAAACTGAAGACAAATAAAAAAGATCGAACCGTTCAACGCAGCGGGAGACAGCCTACTATTATTTTTCTCCCTCGTTTAACCGGTATGTTTTATTATCGCGTCTCTTTTTTTTTCCCCGTTACTTACTTTTGACTTTGGCCTTGGCTCTTAATTTTGGCTTTGGCTTTAGCTCTTAGTTTTGTATTTGGCTTCCTCCGTGGTGTGCGTTTGTTCTATTGTCCTCGCCATTATTGGATGTGCCGGTTCAAGCGCGAAGACAGCCGCGGTCTAAAAAAAAATGCTGGTGGGGAGTGCGCGAGAGACGCTTCATGGTCCTGACCTTGGCGTGCAAGCGTTTAAAATTCCTTTTAGTGAAAACTGACTGGTTTTAGTGTATAAACGTGATGAAAGCTCTAAAATGGGAATTCTGTAGAACTCTGAAAGTTCACGCTTGGTTTTCAAACCGGTTCAGTTCTGTCAGCATTATGCGCACTCGAGTTTCAAAAGGAAATCCAAACCGCGCCAATTCTTTCGAGTTAATGTGACTTGGTGGTGTGCCCAGTTGTTTTGCGCGCAGCGGCTACTAACAGATACAAAATAGTGACGGCATGAAGCACGGGACCCCTCTCGACACCCGAGGTAACTCCGGTCTCATTACACCTCCCATTTAGCCCTCCATAACATGGATCGCACCTTTTTTTCTACGAGCTCTAGTTGGGTGAATGAACAGATGAATAATTGACGCGTCTGAAATCCTCTGCGTCAGTCGGCAGCCTATAGGCTACCTAGCTAGGGTTTACTTCTTACTGTTAAGACATAAATTTATGTATATAACACGTTTGGCGTTTGGTAGGAGAAGCTTTCGCTGTGTGAATAAAACGCATATTACACAGCTCGGCGCTAACTCACAAACTCCCAACAGTTCGCTAGCTTTTGTCGCATTTAATTCTTCTCATAAGCCTGGGGAGTACATAAGTGTGCAGTGCGTGCAACGCATCTCAAACCACCCGAAGTATTTTATAACAAAGCAAAAAAGAATTCTCACTCACGCAGAATTCATGCACGAGACATTCAGTGATTTCCTGTTTTATGAGAATAATAGAGAAGTTTACATTTTTTTCTCAAGAACATACCCCTATTTAATAACGTCATCTAGCCATCCCCACTTGAATAGTTCGAGGCTTACTTTTTGTTGCTCTGATACGTGATCTTTATTAAAAGCAGTTTCACGTACAGAGTTAAGTACTATAACCAAAGCCGACAAATAAACTACTCTTCAAAGTAACGACCCTTTAGCCACCTTGGTGCATATTGTTTGTTCCCAGTCATCTAAAGCTCTATCTAGAGTTGCGGGAAACGTTTTTTTAAGCACCAGAAATCATTACAAAAAAGCAGTTCGCGATAAAGCAAAACGGTATTACCTGAGCTACGCGACGCCACTACCAAAGCTCAGGAAATGACATTTCTAGATCGTTACGATCGCCCATTGCACCCACTCTTCAGTGTGCACCAAAATGGCGGCGACCGCAAGAACATCGGGGTATAAAGTGCCGATACTCTGAGAGCACATTTGGTGGTTCGCGTACCAATAACTGAAGTAATTTTAATTTTTTTTTTTTTTTTTAAATTCTAGACATATTTTTGATTTCAAGTGTGAATCAGCGAATCAACGCTGAACCTGCTGCTCTTTCCAGTGTTTGTGAGAGCGTGTAACTCTGTATGCGCCTTGCTACTCTTACCATTGGAAACAAAATCTGAATACCGCCACGGTAGAATTTGGGTATAGAACTTGTATACGCGCTCGCCGGCGACATTGTTTCCTGGGATGTGTGTGTGTGTGTGTGTGTGCCTGGGGGGAGGGAAAGGTAGGATATTTCGGTTCATAACTATCTTGGCTTGTCTCGGCTTTGTTTTCAAGGGTGTGTGCGTGTGTGGGGGCGGGGGTAATATATTTTGGTTAATAACTATCCCGGTTTGTATTGACGGCAATGCCCACCAGATGTATCGCGTATTTATTTTGCTGTGGGAACTGACTTCATTTAGGCTGATTGATGTTACGCATATACAAAGATCAAGAAGTTCATACTGCGTTCCTGACCATGTCCGCAGTCCAGAGACACGGACATTGCAAAGGGAGTGACAACATCTTTATAAAAGCTATCTTTAAGCGTTTAAAAAAGAAAGGAGCCATCAGAAAAAAAATAGCATTCTACTCTTATTGCGACCTTTCTGGTGCGCGCCGACCTGACAACGCCAGTTCTCAGAAAAAAACACTCTCGACTCATTGCTCTTTTTTTTTTGCCTCTCTTAAAAAAAAATACAAGAAAAATATCTATATAAAAACACAGGAACTTCGTTTATTAGTTTGCCACATTTCACGCCTTGGTGTCTTTGTTCGACATTTCTGCCGATATTGTCCTGTCGTCCGCCGGGGTCCAGAACCTCATCCCGAAAGAATCATTTGTTTAATTAAGGCGTCCTTTTCTTTATTGTTCTAAATCGTTGTTGCAACACCTTGCGTATGTCAGTGTACGCGTACCCCTGCGTCGGACAAAGCGCGATTTCCCTTTTTACTTATGCGGAAAGCAAGTTCGTCTGCTTCTTTTGCTGGGGCTGTGGTGACGTCAGAATGACGTCGAGCTCTGATTGGCTTTGATTAAAAAGATGGTGGGAAGAACTTAATGTCAGCTGCCTTGAATTTTACCCACTATCCTTCAATCAGAGCCAATCAGAGCTGGACGTTCGGACGTCGCCACAACCCCTGCAAAAGAAGCAGACGAACTTGTGCTCCACGCAGTCATCGACAGCTTAATATACGCAGGATATATCCTTGTATGTTCGCGCTTCTTGCTTCGTGATATGTTATTTTCTTATCTCTTGTTATCTTATCTCTTATATCTTATTATCTTATAAGCTAACGCAGCAATCTCATTTGCTGCCGAGCGACAATAAGATGTTCGTGACAAACGTCGCCTTTCCTTTCTTGAGTTGCCAATAACTATAGACTACTGCGAAAAATCGCTTTCTGCGCGCCGCCATCTTTATCTACACGGGTTGTGGAACGCGTTCTGTAGATTCCTTCTGCGAAAAACATCAGGCGTCGATCGTAGGCGCCTACATCCAGATGGCTCGGCGGTTTCTTTTATTATTTTCTTTTTTTTTTTTTTTTGCCTGCGTGGTTAACGACGAAAGAGTGTATGGTTCTGTTATTTCTATTTATACTAGGGCTCGAGTGTCCACGACAATAGATGGCGGCAGCCGCGCCTCCCAGTTCAAATGAGAAAGAAAGAAAACCCGAATGTGCGGCGCGTCCAGCCGTTCCCAACTACGCAAAAGCAAAACCCGTGCGCTCCAAGGCTATGTATTTTCACGGAGGGGGATGTTATCGGCTACACTTTGTTTCAGGTTAAGTCCAGACGCAACCGACGCTACTAGCTAATGGCGCCAATCAAGCAGCGTCAAAATCGCAGGCCACTAGGCCTCTTCTGTTTGTCATTCGGTCTGCGATGATAGAACGCGTACAGAAGCATGACGAACACCATTATGGTACGCTTTTGAGGCTGTCTCATTGGCGCCATCAGCTCGTAGCGTCTTCTGTGTCTGAACTTAGTATTAAACGAAGTATAGTGTAGTGTTTGGTATCAAAATATATTAACCTTTCAGGCTCGCTGTGTTTGCACTCCGTGATGGGTCATTCGGGAGGTGCACCCTATAGTGAACCTTCGATGAAAGGGTCTGACAATCGTCTTGGGGGACGTGACGACCGACTACACAATCTAAGCTCGCGGACCTCTCTGATCCGTTTCATTCATACTCTGGAGCGTAGCATAGGCTACTCACCATCACAGCCAATCCGATGCCATTCGAGTGCCACGTGGCCAGCGGGGGAGGGAAGGGGGGGGGGGGGGCATAGCAACGCGCAGAGCTCCTAGTCAGGCGATTTGTTCACAGCGCTGGATTGATTTGGGACGGCTCGTAGGATCTCCTGCGGATCGTCGTGAGATCAAACCAACAATAGTTACAGCAGAAGCTTGTTAAAGGCTCCGAGAGTATAGCATTAGCGTATAAACATCGTTATTAATATGTTCCCCCTGACCGAGGCATTCCACATTGGGCTATCATCGACGAATGGATATTGGATATTACGCAATGCGCCTCGGTCTTCGCATTGATTCCATGTGAGCTACTTGCGGCGCTTATTTCGGTCGGTTGCCCACCGTTCTCCGATGATTAGATCGGTGCAGCTATAATCGGGGAGGTTGTGGGTCTCGTGCTTAGATCCCGTGTACACGTAAGCTTTGGAACTGAAGAGCTAGCTGCTGGTATTGTTACTCACAGCTTAAGAAACTACGGGCTTGCCTTATTACGCTGAGGCTTCTTGCTTTCTAATTCGTTCTTTGGGGCTGCCAGTGCACTAATGCAACAATCTCATTGGCTGTTTACGCATAGTGAGCTGCTCAGAACCTGCAGGTGCCGCGTTTCTTAAACCGTTAGTGTCTATATGCTACGAGAAGTCCTGTGCGTCTACTTTCCGGCAAAACACTTAAAACAGCAAATCGCCGCAATCTGCGGATGGAGCTCGGCGAAAATGACGAGGTTGAAAATAGGTTTAGACCTTTGTCTATGCTGTAATGCTTAGCTTGACGTAAACCCGAAAAACGTCATACACATTTTTTTTAATGTTAGGTTCAGACATATTTGCAGCATCATCATTTGCAAACTACGGATCCCTCCGTGGTTGGCGGTAGTCTTTTTCTGTCGCAAATGCTTTGCGGGAAAGTGACCGCATCCAATTTCCGAAAGTGGGTGACTATAACATTTGAGTGTACACTGACCTATGATGAAGCTAGGTGTACTATAGCACGTGTGTTTTTTTGTTTTTTTTTCGGGGTTGTGCAGGAGGCTTCGGTGTTCGTGTTCGAGAAGCGGGTGGCAGACAAGCTGCACAAGCCGAAGCGGAAAGAGACCATCACGGAGATCCTCAGGTTCAGTGTGAGGCAGCTGGACCGCTTCAAGCATCCCAAATTGCTCACCCTCTACCACCCCATCGAGGAGGCCAAGTGAGCACAATGTTCGCCAGCGCACACCTCCTAGAATACAATGCCGTAGTGCTTCATTTCTGTCGTCACTTAGCGAAGGCCAACCTGTTGCACAGATTAGGCCGCGTCAGCGTTCGGCTCTGACTGGTGTGCAATCACTAAGAGCTTGAGTCACAGCCGAACGCTGACGCCGCACTCACCTCCAATCCGTGCTCACGCGTTGGCCTCCCTCAGGTGACGTCACAAGTTCGGTACTACGGATTTTCTGTCCGCAGTCACTGACAGCATAAGGACGGTGGGGCGTCTCTTTCGAACACTCGGCCTTCCAACACGCGCTCGTTTGCTTTCGCATTGCTTTGGCCGCTCGTGCACGATGCTCACGAGCGTAGCCTCATATATACACACAAAGCCTGGCAGTTCGACGATGGAGCGATAGAGTGCCCGGTCGCAGATTTGGAGCGCGAGGATCTGGCAGCACAGAGCATCAAAAATCCATTTCTCGGGGAACCTGGACGTCAGCGCACAGCTTTTGCCGCGTCAAGGACCCGAAACACACATGTTCGCTCTGGAGAAGTTTATTTCGGCGTCCCGCCGCAGCGGGGCGCCAGTCACGTGGCACTCCTCTCATTCGTTTTCTGCCGCTCCACCTTTTTTTCATTTCGGCGGCCGCTTCTCGTGGCGATCTGCCAGGCTTTGTAACTATGTAGGAGGCTATGTCACGAGAGGCCGAAGGGTTACCGAAGGGTGGAAGCTCTTGCTGGGAGGCCGGACGACTGGAACTAATCCATGCCGTTCGCATCCTGTCCGTAAGTGTAGTGGACGCTGTCACCACCTCGCCAACGTATCGCCTCATCCTCGATAACCGCTCTATTTCAACCCAGCACGAGCGCGAACGCGGTGTTTAAAAAGTATACGTCAAATCGCCAGATAATTGAGTTGCATACGTGAAACGTTCTAGCATGACATAACATCAATTCGCGTGACGCCAATTTCCACGCTAATTTTAGCGGGAAAATTTATTTTGCATATAGATCACGTGACACGAAGTTATGTGGCGTCATTTTCCCCTCTAAATTTAGCGGGGAAACTGAATTGGTGTTGATGCCACGTGACTTAAATTTTCCCGCTAAATCTAGCGGCGAAACTGAAGATCACGTGATGTCACAGGCCGCGGCTTCGCTAAATCCGGCTTCGCCACGGTAACATATGTGCGGCAGCATCAGTGCCACTCGATACTCTCTTGAGTATGCCGGAACTCTCTCAAGCTTTGTTTCCAAAACACGCCGTGGCGTTAACGTAGCAGCTTGGGCGAGTTGGTTGCACATGATTACACACACCACAGCGCACTATAGCAAACGACACTCACACCTTACACACGAAAAATAAAGCAAAATTCAAACAAACCGCGCTGACTGACAACTCTTTTTATATAACTTCGTCTTCTTCAACCTCTAGCACCACCGAATTTCCCAAATCACGCGCACCGATCTCCTAGATGCCTAAAAAATGTTTTCTCTTTTTCTGTCAGGTGTAAAGATGGTGTACTTATACAGTTGTTATAATTCCTGGAGTGTCGTTTGCTATAGTGCGCTGTGGTGTGTACGTGTAATCACGCCGTGGCGCTTCAATTGATTAACTGCAAAGTTACGGCCGTGCCCAATGGAATGGGACTCAATGGAGACTGACAGAGTTATCGCAGGTTGCCTACCGCAAGTGGGTCGACGTTCTCCTTAAGCGCGCCAGATTATGGGCTAGCTAAAAAATGAAAGCCGTTTACAACTACTGTAACGCCGAATTAGAGTGCAGCTCTTGAGGAGGAGGAGGAGGGAAGGGTACTGAGGGTCAAGTGTTCCCCGGTCACGTGATCTCGGGGGGGGGGGGGGGGGTCACGTGGCCCCCAGAGAATATTTTGCACTAGATTTAGCGGGGAAATTTTTACACTAGATTTAGCGGGGAAATTTTTCTGCTAGATTTAGCGGGGAAATTTTTCCGCCAAATTTAGCGGGGAAATTTACCAATAATGCACCGCGCCGTTACGCCGACGCCGACGCCGCTCAAGCCGGGAACGATCGCCTAAGAGCTGCGCTCTAAAACTGAAACCCTGTGTGGAGCTCAAGTTCGTCTACTTCTTGTACAGGGTTTGCTATGATGTCAGAACGCCGAGTTCTTATTGGCTGATTGAAATAAAAATAGTGGATAGACCTTACGACATCTAGCATTGAGGTCTGCCCACTATCCTTTCAATCAAATCCAATCAGAGGTCGGAGTCGTCCTGACGTGACCGCAACTCCTGCGCAAGAAGCAGACGATTTGCTCTCCGTATAGTCACGGACAATTCAAGCATTGCAAGGAGTGGCGAGTCCGGGCTATTTTATTATCGCTTAACATCCAGCCGGTACGACTTTAGAGAAAGGTGATGTTTTTCATTTCGACGATAAAAGTGTACTTCGTAGGAAATTTTCTGCATAGAAAAGAAGGTAACAACCGCGGGTTTGGATGATCTATGTGTTCTGGAGTTATGGAGCGCTGAAGCGACCGCGGTGGAAAGGGGCGTTTTTTCCCCACAGTCCAACGATGCATATTTCACTCGCTCTCCTCCCTTGATTTTTGCATCTACGTCATTTTCATTTGTGTGGATAACTTTGCGGGCATTATGAAGAGGTCTTAATTTCCCGAATATTTTTAGCCGCTTCACATTTTTTGAAAAAAATCGCGAAACTCACCTTTAGGTTTGATTTTTTATCAATTTTTACTGACTGCTATCTGTGACCTGCTTCAGTTATATTTATAATTTTGATGTTTTTGGAAAGCCCCAAAAAGCTCCTTAGGAATATATGGGAATTATTCAGTTGTCCGCATTATCTCGGGCAACAATATCACTAAAAGACCGTAAAAATGAAAGAATTTGCAAATTTGATAAATAGGCAAAAATATATTATATGAAAGACCTTTTGCGTCATCATACAAAATATTATTTTTCGTCCATGAATCGCAATATATATATATATATATATATATATATATATATATATATATATATATATATATATATATATATATATATATATATATATATATATATATATATACATGGCCTTTATTCAGGCCCTAATCTTGTCAAATGTGTTTTCATATTTAGCTAGAAAATCTGTCATTTTTTTTTTTTCATTTTTGGCGTCCCTGGGATTTTTTTAATATATCAGTATATGTCTCGTGCAATAAATCCCCGCCCTCGTGGTGGGCTCAGTGTGAGGCGACAAAAAACATACCAAAACAATGTAGAAAAAAAAACTGTTTTACGTATTAAAAACGTCTTGATATATCAGTTGTCGTTCAATTAAAATAACATATTGCACGCAGCTTTCACTCTACCATGCAGGAAACGTGATAAAGTTCACAGTGCCTACATCTAGCTAAAAAAGTCCCTACACCAATTTTTTCGTCGAAAAAAAAACTGATTTCCTTTTGCCTCGATTATTTGAGATGAAATCTGCCAGCGAGATTGCTGAACATACCGATTAAAACGGCGAATATGGAATCAGGAAACAAGAATTGGCAGCATAATCAGCCCACCGTTTTCTTAAGCAGTCAGAACAGATTTTTTAAATGCTCTTTTTTCCCGCGGTCCATTAACGATTGGAATAACCTGCCAAGTGACAATGTTGAAACGGCATTGTCAGAGATGCTTGTTTCAAAGGATTCAATGTTACTTCTAACTACCGTTGTGTATCACGTCTTGAATAATTCTGTTTCACCTTGTGTTTGTACTTAAAAAAATTATGTCTGTGCCCTACTATAACGCCTCTTCAGACGACGTAGGTATGCAAAGAAATAAATAAAAAAGGCTGTTGCCGACCATCTTGATTATCGTTGTAAATACAAACTAGCGGGTTTTTTTTTTTTGTTTTTCTTAGTTTTACCGGTGGAGACGAGAATTATATTTTCCTACGCATTTCACGAAAGCGTGTGTAAAAAAAAGTAGTCTTGTTATGACTCCCAGGTTTTTTTTTTTATTTATTTTTAACGCTGGAAGTTTTTACTGCGCTTTGTTTCTTGGCCAGAGTGACGAACCAAATTTGTATCGGTTTGGTGCGGTTTCGGTTCACAAAATTCGGTTCAATTCCGGTTCAGTTGCGGGGAGCTAAAACAACAGCTGAAACCTGTTTGAACCGCTGAAGCGGGAATATATTTTGCGCGTTGGTTTAGGCAATGGCACATTTTCAGCCGTGAAACAAGTAGCTATAATGTGTTTGTTTTTTTACCCTTTATACAATCCACTTTTATTTTCAAATACCAGAAATCTTAAATTGCGTTATTTAATTTGAACGTAACAGTAGAAAATTTTATTTTACCGCACAAAACGTCCTGTTTATACCACTCAATATCCATTTGTCTACCTCAGTCCCCTGTAATTGACCCTCCCCCCCCCCCCTTTTTTTTTTCGTTGCTCGTTTAGAGAATACATTAACAGTAATCCTTCATTTCTCTTCTTTTGAACCTAAAAACTGTGATGTTAAAACAAAATACAGAGGTCGTGAAAGCTCGGGAAAGAACGTGAAAACGACACTACACTGAGACAGTAGAGCGGATGCCAACGTTCGGCTGTCCATATGAGGCCTTCGGGATTTTTGTTTTCCCGGTATCCCGCCAGTGAGCACTCCTAGTTATGTATAACGCCCAAGTAATAATAAGTAATATTTAGCCCTTCCGATGCTTCTAATCTCGGGGACAAATTCCTGAGGCAATTCAGCGACAACGAAAGCATATTTGGGTGCCTCAATGATGTGCACATGTAGAGAAGGTCGTGCAACAATTGTGCCGCAAAGAGCGCAGCCCTGATGATAATCTGCGAGACACACGTTCGTTTTCCTTTCAGCGCAATGGCAGACGCAGCAAACACTAAAGGAAAGAAACAGCTTTGCCCTCCTGAACTCGCAATTAGATGTTAGCACAAGCGGCCACGTGATGTGAGGTGAATTATATACCGTCTGTGTCCAGCCTATGAGAATGGCAAGACATAG